GTACGGGGTGACTGGGTGACGGGCACTGAGAGGGGCACTTGATGGGATGAGCACTGGGTGTTACACTATATGTTGGCAAATCAAACTCCAATAAAAAAATATACCAAAAAATAGAAATAAAAAGAAGAGCATGGATGAAAGTTAAAAAAAAAAACTAAAAAATAAAAATTCTTTCCCTGAAAATTTCCTTTTAGAAACCTTGTACAACTTTCTACTTCATTCAGATTTTGTCCTAAGCCATTTCTCTCTAAACAAGGAGTCTCATTTTAAGACAGAATTACTCTCTTTTTCCCCTCAACAAAATGTATTTCCATTCCTTATATATTTCCTATTTTCCCACCTACAGAGTTACTTCTTTCCATCAGTCCTAATTACATTTAGCAGAATTTTAACTTTTAGAAACCTTAGTCTCCAGTGAAAATTAAGTAGTAACCAACTGTGAACTATTACACCAAAACTCTTTAGATCGGAAATCTATGAGTATATTTCATAATTTCTAAAAACATGTTTTCCCATAGAACAATATTTCAATAAAGCATAAAGTACATTTACCAAGAGACTTTACTATCCTCAGTTTCTCTGTGATAAGAAGGCAAAGCAGGTAAACCTATGTTCAATAATCAATGCTTTAATATTTTATCTCATTTGGAAAAGATTTAGATATCCAATTAATTCAATACAATTTATCATTTAACTGAGCAAAACGTCAAGGTTTCAGGTGGAAAGATTTTGAAAGCTGTTTTAACAATTACCCATGAGAACTTTTTGAGGCAGACAAAATTTACTGTATCTTAACCCATTTTGGGGGACAAATTGAAAGAGAACATGAGTTTATTTGACCATTAGCAATCATTGGTAGAATAAAAGTTTTCTATTTAATGCTGATAACTCTAAAGACATGTCTACATAACTAACAAACTTACATTAGCTTAAGTACTGAGTATGTTGCACATGGGTCAACTTAAAAGTCAGTCAATTTGTTAAAAAAGTCACTGTGACTTTTCACTTTTTTTCAACTCAAAAGTCAGTGTCAATTTTTAGCTGGGGCACCTGTAGGGAAATCTAAGTGGGCCATTTAAGTCCAAGGAGGGGTGCTGTCCTCTCCTTGATTGCAAGGGTAGGAGGAGGAGAAGCCAATGGTGAGCACTGGAGACACAGAGCACACCAGAGAAGTCAGTTATGCAAGCCCTGCTCAGACGGTGGGGAAACAGAAGAGGGAGGTGGAGATAGTGGAGATGAGGTGTGGCCATCAAGGCTGAAGGCGGGTAAAAGCCCAAAAGGCAGAGAAAGGGGACTCCTGGTTCTAGAGTTCAACAGCTCAGACAGATGAACAGACACATGTTTTCTTTACACCAAAAAAAGTGAAAATAAATGGTCCATGTGGGGCCAGAGAAGACCTTCTGGGAACCTTCTGGATACAAAAGGAGTTTTGGCAGTTGTTTGGGAATATTCCTCAAGGTCCCTGTCACAAGATAGACTAACCACAGACAACTGGCTCCAGTTATCATAGCCATTAACCCAGAAGTGAACGAGGGGGACCACTCCCCGCCCCATGCAACAAGAGTCAGGCAACATTCAACATTCATCCAGCAGTCTCAAGATATATTTCTTGAAAAAAAAAAAGATTTTATTTATTTATTCATGAGAGGCATAGAGAGAGAGAGAGGCAGAGGCAGAGACACAAGCAGAGGGAGAAGCAGGCTCCATGCTGGAACCCGACGTGGGACTAGATCCCTGGTCTCAGGATGACACCCTGGGCTGAAGGCAGCACTAAACCGCTGAGCCGCCCGGGCTGCCCTCAAGATATATTTCTGTTACACAAAAGAGAAAGCAAACAGATGGGAAACAAGTAACTCAGGAAAAAGCGGGAGGCATGTACATGATCTTGGCAGCAACCTGTGTTTACGAGAGAGTCAAAGGGGAACACATAGAGAACGTGATAGAACACAGGCAAGTGACGGATTAACAGGAGTCGGAGGGCTCCAGGCAGCTGTGCTGATGGTGGATTGAGGGTGAGGAGAGGGGTGTCCTGGGGCCCTCTAATGGTGTATGGAATAGATCAGGATTTTAGTACAGGGCCATAAAGGCCTGACTATGTGGGATTTCAGTCCACTTTCCTTGACACTCACAAAAAAGGTCTAACTAATAAATAGTATTGAAGTTTAAGGACCCATAAATGGGCCATTTTTCATCATTCTCCAGAGAATATTGAGGACATGCATTATCATAGAATAAGATAAGGTGGTTCTTTAAACCCTGTTGTCCAAATTGACTACAGTGTGTTAGGAGACAGGGCATAGGGGAATCTTTCAGGATTGAGGAAATTGAACCCATAGTCAATTCCTACAAAACAAATGAGGCGAGCACATGAACTAACTAGAAGTCCATTACCAAAATCCCCCTTGGCTTCCAAATGGCATCCTGTCAGGAATATTGATGGAGGTTCCTGGGGTTCAGAGTGGGGGGAGATGTTTTTCTTTCTTGACTGTTCTGACACTTTTGTATTACCTGAGAAGGGATGTCAACCTCCCCTCACTTCCCCATTGCAGACTACAGCAGGTGCTGGTGAATGGACTCAAATGCTGCAGACACTGGTGCTGCCTCTTTCCATTTTGGGGGAGCCTATATATTTGACCAATAATAGTACCAATTGGAAACCTCTAGATCCAGTATTAATGGATGGGATAGAGGTCCAGGCCTTTGTTAAGAAAGGGCAGCTATTTTATATCATATTAAGCATCATATATCTAAGCTAGAAGTACGTTCAATCTGAGAGCAGGATGGAGAACACCAAACAACCTATGAGTGAGTACAAAATGATAGATATGAAAAAACAAAAGTATGGAACTCCTATCTAATCTGGGCAACTTTCTCTTTCTTTCTTTCTTTCTTTCTTTCTTTCTTTCTTTCTTTCTTTCTGTAGGCTCCATGCCCAACATGGAGCTTGAACTCATGACCTTGAGATGGAGAGCCACATGCTCTATCAATTGAGCCATCCAGATGCCCCTAGGCAATTTTGTTGTGAGCTTTATCTATAAGCCAGTTCCAAGGAAGCAGTCCCCTGTTGGGTGAGTGCCCCAACTAGGTAATAGCTCCAACCAGTCGCTTTTGGGAAGCACATAGTCAGATGTATCTTGGATTTTTATGTTCATCAAGAGATCATGCCTTATTATTTAGGGGGAAACCTTACACTGGAGTCTTGAGATTGGCAGCTGTCCTAAAGACATATGTGGCTGTCCCATGCCTAACAAGAATATATGTCTTAACAGAACAGGAAAAATAAAGAGAATCTGATTTCTGAGCCCAATGTTTTTAGGACCAGGAAATAGTGTTCAGCCAGATAGCAAGAGTCTCTATCCCTCACTGTAGTATAGCCATGCACAAGAGGTCCTCTCCTGAGCACTTGGCCAAGACACATTCCGAAGGGTCATACTATTTAGGACATCTCTGAAAAAGAAAAAGAACAGGTAAGAAACACACTGGGCGAGGGGAGAAGATTTACTAAGTTGCATCGACACTCTTGTATTCACTCCATTGTCCCTAAACAGGTCACCCAAAATGTTGTGGGATCATTGAGTGATAGTCAAGAAAGAACTCTTGAGATGATGTACAGTGCAACTTGGTAAGTTTATTTAAGTAGCACAGGGATAGGACCTGTGGGCAGAAGAGCTGCACTTTTGCTTCGTGAAGCTGATGGTTATATGCTTAGTGCTCAAGGGGGAATAGACAAGCAGGAAGTACTAGATCTTAAATGTCTTCTTCGAATCTCTGCTTCCACAAGATTCCCCCGGTGATTATCATTCATTTCTATATTAACTATTAATGAGATTTACAGGCAGTTGTAAGACCCTTTGAGAATGCAGCTACTTTGGGATGCCTGGGTAGCTCAGTTGGTTAAGTGTCTGTCTTCAGTTCTAGTCTTGATTCCAGGGTGGTGGGGTCGAGCCCTGAGTTGGGAAAGTGCTTACCTCTCCCTCTGCTGCTCCTCCTGCTTGTGCTCTCTCTCTCTCAAACAAATAAAAATAAAATCTTTTTAAAAAATGTAGCAACCGTCACCTATCTGATCATTATCACAACGATGCTGGCTATAGGTAAGCCTTCTGGGCTAAAGGTGAAAATTTTTCTACTTTTGTCCCTCATCAAAAGGACGAGACAGGCAGACTAGTTAGGTGCAACTGGCTGTTCAAGCAAGAATTGCTGAGAATCTGAATTTAAAGGGCAGTGCAAATAGGGAAGACAGTTTTGTGGGGCTTATTTCAGCTAGGGGCTGCTTAAAATAAGAGTTCTCTCCTCCCTCTCTGCTATTTTCCAGTTTAGGGGTTGCATTACAATAGGAAGCCCGATTCCCCCTTCCCTCAGGTTTTATTTCCCAGGTTGCGAAGGGTCATGCATCATTCGTGCTCAGCCCCCCGCTCTGCACCACAATCTCCTCTGGTTTCCAAGCTTCCTTCTTCAAAGCCTCTTTTGTGCTTGGGTTTTTGGTTAGGGAATGGAGGAAGGAAGCAGAGGTAACTAAGCGGGCCAGAGATCTCTTGATATAATAAAAATGTCGTCACCAGTGGTTAAATGTGACAGTTGGTAAGACCACAGCACACCCAGCGAATCCCGGACCTGGCCGCCCCCCACCCCCACAGCAGCGGCGCCTGGAGGGGCGGCTGGCGGGGGCGGGGGCGCCTGAACCCGCGGGGCGGGGCGGGGCGGGGCTGCGGGAGGAGTTTTCGCTTGAGCCCGAGCGGTACCTTGTCCCCCTGAGCGGGTCGGAGCTGCCGGCGGGTTTGGTTTGGAGGGCGAGGCTTGAGACTTTGTCCAAAATCTCAGCCAAAGATTGCAGGTTTTTGGCTTCTGCAACGTCAGACTAGGGCAGTGCCAGGGGAGGAGTTTGAAGCCCAGTTCTCGGGTTCTTGCATCTGATTGAGCCCAGCGGGTCCTGGGGCGGGTCCTGGGGCGGGTCCTGGGGCGGGTCCTGGGGCGGGTCCCACTTGGCTTTTGACAGCTCTCTCGCGCGGAGCCGCAGCCGAGTCCCGTGGTTCGGGAACTTGTAGCCCTGCTCTCTGCGCGTCCCCTTCCCCCCGTGGCCCCGGCCCCGGCCATGAAGCGCTTCTTCTCCTGCTCCAGCTCACAGGTGGCGGTAGGTGCCAAAATGTCTGGGAGGATGGGGCTGGGGTGCAAGCCCTGGTGACAGAAGTCCTGAGTCCCATCTTCACGCACCGTCGCCTTTTCTCTTTATGGGTCTTTCCAGCGCTTCCACTCCCGCAATGCAGCCTGCCAGCCCTGCCTTCCTCAAGACCCTGTCTCCTCGCCTCTGACTTGCCTTCCTAATCTCTGCTCTCCCCAAATTCCTTCCCTTTGGCCCTTTCTTGTCCTCCTAGCAAGTACACCCCCAACTTCTGAGATGTTTCCTGCAGGCTCTGCCCCTCCCGGAAGGTCCTGTCTACTTCTGCTGTCTTCCAGGACTGAACACCTCCAAACATCTGCTCTATCCCCAGCCCCTGCTCAGTCCCAGGTCCTGCTCTATCTCCCAAGTCCTGCCTCAAGGCCTCATTTTCAGCCCTGACCTGTCCTCACAATCCTGCCAGCCCGTAGGGCTCTGTCCTTACTATTTCCTCTTGGCCCAACAAACGCCCAGGCCGGTGTCTTCCCCTAGTCCCGTTTCATAGAGTTTTCTCTGTCCTTGCCCCCTCACCCCTTCCACTCCTGTTCTCTCATCAGCACCACTGGCTCTCTGACATCACTCCAACCCTCTTTCCAATTGGTGCTCCCACACAGGTGCAGCCTCCTCCTGTTCCCCCTTCAACTGCTGCCCCTCTCTTTCCAGCGGTTGTTCAACACCACGTTTCCCCCTTTTGCCCCAACCTCCTTTTGCCTGCTCTCTGTGGATTAGTCTTGCACTCCGCCATCCTCCCAGGCACTGGCAGAGGAGGCATAGTTGTCTGGCTGCTCCCCAAGAAACTGGGTGAGTTGCCTGCAGAATCCACCCTAGCCAGCTCACTGCAGTGTCTGGTTATCAGACTGGTTCTTGGGCAGGTCAAAGGCCTTCTGCCTTCTTCTCCCCAGAATCTTCCTTCATTCTAAACCCTCACCCAGTTGCTTAGGGCTTGTATTCTCCGCTTCTTTGGACTGAGTTGGGGAAAGGTGACAGTAGAAGAAGATAGAGTAGATGCACTCTGTGAGCTCCCAGTAGAAGTCACTCTTCTCGCCACATTCTCCCAGAACACAACACAAGATAGATTACACTTGTGGGGCACAGAGAGGGTGTAGCTGTCTCTTCCCTGAAGATCTCTTAGAGAGAGACCTCCTATGTGGGGATGGCATTTTCTGGGGAGGTTGGGATGATGGCTCATTTAGAAGTGAGGTAGCCAATGGCCAGTGGGAATATGACGTAGCCGAACCTGACTTAGGAGTGTCATTCATAAGCAAACATGAGAAATGCTCAGCTCACTCTTCACGGGCAGGCTGAAGAAGCCTGGAAGTGAGTGAGCTATGAGGCAAGAGTAGGGACTCTGTTGAGGCCTGTTCTTGTCCCACTTGGATTTCTTCTTCACCTGGTCTCCACGCACAGATCAACCAATCAAAATGCATTTACTGGATGACTAGGACAGGTACCAGAAACTCCATCTTAACTGTTAATGATTTTCTTATTCACACAGATTCTTCCTTAGTGGTTGAGAGTCCTCCGCATTGCCCTTACCTTTCACGTCTGTGGAGTCTGCCTGCCCTTAGGAATGGGAAATTATTTCATTTATCCTATTCCCCAATCCTTGGGCTCAGTCTTTCCAAGGTGGTGGAGTGAGCACTGGGCTGAATGTTGGAATTTGGAAATATCTCTCCCTCTGTTCTTCACCCCAGCTCTACAGAGTTTTGGCCATGAAGAATCTCCACTCATTCTAAACTCTCTTTAGTGTAACAAGCTTATGGGAAGTAAATTGGGTGGATTTAGAAGTATCTAGCTGGAAAGAGCTGTTTTCTCAGGATAGGATCGCAAAAAGTTTAAAAATAGGCAGTGTCAGCTGCAAATTGTTTCCTCCTGAAACTTCCTCACCCTTATGATAAATATCTCCACTCCCTGTGTGGCTAACTACTCTGAACCCTTTGTCAAAGAAATAGGGCAACAGCCTTCCTGGCCACTCCCAAAGCCTGGTTTCCCAGTCATGCCAGAGGATTGCCCCTGCCTGTCCTCACTCCCGCCCCTGGGTCCAGGGCCAGAGCCCTGCATCCTTTGATTGAGACCAGTACTGACAGATCAGTGATCATTTTCAAATTAATCTAAATTATTCAGAATTTAGGAAGTCACACACACACACACACACACACACACACCAGCTCTTACAATCTCATTTTATTTTAGTCAAATAAAGGATGCCTTTGAGGATGTCTTATATATTAGCTTACTCTGTCTATGTAGGAAGTGGACCAGAAAGTAGCTTTGAACAGTTGGCCAGTGCTTACTGGAATCAACTTAGAGGAATGTCCATTGCATTTAAAAATATATATATATATATTGAGAGTCAATTCCTGGATCCTCTAGGGCAGCCTTTCTATATCCATTCACCTGTCCTACAATGGTAGCTACTCTTTCTCATCTGTCGGTGTGTTCCATCTCAATAGGATGTTTATAGGCACCCAGCCAGAGATAAGGAGAGGCTGCAATTACTCCTACAAAAGCCCCCTAATCTTGGCTACATATATACAGAGCTTATCCTTGTTTTTGAGTCTGCTGATTAATGTGATTCTTCCCTTGAGGCTGTGATGGTAATCCAGTGCCTCTCTTCCGAGGACTGGATCTTGGAATTTGGAAGCATCCCTCTATTCTCCATCTTAGCTCTGCAGAGGTTTGACCATGATGAATTTCCACCTATTCTAAATTCTTCTTAGTGTAACAAGATTATAGGAAATAAATCGGTGGATTTAGAGCTGTCTAGTTGGAAAGAAAAGTCTCTACATTGCTAAGAAGCACTTTTACCATCTCTATAGTCTGGCTGTTATACATTGGCTGATACAAGCAAGATCCCTTCCTCTCACTTCCCTGGGGGAAGAACTCTGAATTCAGAATTGCTGGTACATCCAAAATGTGTCCAGCAAAGCTAGGAAGGTTGACGATTGGACCCAGCATTTATTGTGCACCGACTCTGTGGCAGACAGTGCTAGGTGCTTTGTGGTGTGTTATATCACTAGGAAGCTGAAGTTCGGAGAAGTTGTTACATACTTAAATTCACCAGCATAGAAAGTGTTAGAATCAGGATTTAAACAGAGAACCTCAGGTTAGAGGTCAACCGATGGCAGCATCCTATGGTGGAGGTATAATTATAGCTTTCTGCTTTTTCTGAGGGTAACTGGTCCCTAAGGGACATTGGATAACATGTTCCTACATTCCAGAATCTGGTATGTGGACCAGTCATTTGGCTTATTTTGTCTTTTGAGAATTATCCTGTTCAGAGACTCTTCTCTGTGTAGGGAATAGCTTCGAGGGTGGGTGGCTTTGGCCTGGAGGCGTCTTAGACTGTTTGCATGGTAATAAGTAAACCTTCTTCCAGGGCTCTGTCGTAGTATATGTGGTCTGCTGGTGAGAACCAGGTCGGGCCCGTCAGGTGGCCTGGGTTCTAATTTCAATTTTACCCCTATTTTGTGATGTGAACCTGGACAATTATCCAACCTCAGCACACTTCAGTTTCTTCTGCTTTCAAATAGATCAAATAATATCAGCCCTAACTCCTTTCTGGGGATGTGGAGAGGCTAATGGAAACAGCACTTGAAATGACTATGAAGAATTACAAGTGCTGGACAGGAGTATTGCCTTATCATCCATCTAGCCCAAGATCATTTTATGGCTTGGGCATTTCAAATCTTCCCTGATTTTGCTACATAATTTGCCCTGGCTAGGTAGACAGTATTTGAAAATTAATTATTTGGCTTCCATAGAACCTATTTTTTCCCACCTCCTCCCAAAGCCTCTTTCTTGTTGTGATTATACCTCATAAAATGTGATGTGCCACCACCAATCTTCACTGCTTCCTGTTTGGTTATAAGGATACGATGCACTTGTATGGTTTTTTACAGTTTATGAAGAGAATTTATATACCTCATATGAGGTTAGCTCATTTAATGCTCACAACATGATGAGGTAGTTATTATTTCCCACATGTTATAGATGAGGAAACGGAGGTGTTCAATTGCTTACTCTGGGTCACATAGCTGAGAAAGTAGGACTACTGACAAAATATTCATCCAGGACCCTTTCCACCGTCCCACAGATTTTTGCATCCTTTCTTCCTTTCCCTTCCCCTCTCTGGATCCAATCAGGCTATTCTGTGCCTTCAGCCCTGGGTGTTTTTACACAGCTCTCTCTCTTTCACACCCTGTGATACCTCAATTATTGTAATTACCCTACCACCCTCAAAAGGCAAGCTGGAATGATAGAACAATGCATGCCCAGGTGTGGCTGTGGCCTGGGACAGCTGCTCCCTGCCAGAAAAAAGAGAAGGGAGGGGAGGGGAGGGAGGAGCAGGAGAGCTGCCTCTTGCTGCTTCCTCAAGCCTAGCTAGAGACCTATTTTTGCCTTTGGGTGGTTGTGCCATGGAAGGGGAAGAGCAATCAACTAAAGGACATAGAAACGAGATGGGAAGAGAGAAACTCTGCTATCCCTCCCAGTTTTGGGGCCCACAGCCAAAAGGCTGGATGGTATGGCTGGATATTTGGACTCCTAGCTGTAATGTGAAGCTAGATGCCTTGATGTCTCATAAATCTGAGGACAAGAAGCAGAGCAGCATGGGGAGGTGAGAGGTAATGTGAGCCCAAAAGGGAGTGGTCAGCATGGCTCAGCTTGCTCCAGCAAGACCTAGAGAGCAGAAGGGAAAGGAGCATGGCTAGGATTGCTCTGAGCTGGTGCCCCTAACAACAATAATCACATGATGATTAAAAACAAAAAACAAAAAACAAAAAGGACATCTGAAAAACTCTGCCCTCAGTGCTAGAACATGATTTTTTAAAAAAGATTTTATTTATTTATTCATTCATAAGACACACAGAGAGAGGCAGAGACACAGGCAGAGGGAGAAGCAGGCTCCTCAAGGGAAGCCCCATGTGGGACTCGATCCCAGGACACTGGGATCACAACCTGAGCCAAAGGCAGACACTCAATCACTGAGCCATCCAGGCACCTGTAGAACACGATTTTTAATCCACTAGTCCAAGTACCTTTTGGTCCAGGGCTGGCAATACCCAGCAGTAGTTTCTCGGTGGCCTGCAGAGGTCTCTTTTCCCTGGCCAGGCATCCTAACCATCTCCTTTCCTTTTTCTACCCCAACCCCACCCCCTGTGTTCATACAATCTGTGGCCCTGGACCAGGTGGAGAGATGGAACCGCCGTGATCAGAAGCTGCTGGAGGCGGTGCAGCGGGGGGATGTGGGACGTGTGGCTGCCCTGGCCTCAAGGAAGTCTGCCCGACCCACCAAGCTGAACTCCAACGGCCAGTCTCCGTAAGTAAGCCCTCCCGGGCCCCCCTTGATATGTGGCTCCCTTCGAAAGCCTCCAACCCTGATATGAGGTAGGACCAGGGAATGCCTAAAGCCCCAGAGCCTGTTTTGTTTTAATCAGCAAGCATATCCATCATTGTTTGCTACGGATCAAGTGCTGCAAACAGGGAGGGGAGAGATAGCGTCTCAGTCCCATCCGTCTCATGGCCCAGATTGACAAACCTTGGTGGGGGGGAAGCCCCCAAAACAAAAGGACATCAAGCCCATGAAACAAACAGAAAACTGATACATTCCCTAAATACAGTGTTTACTTATTGCACAAGTAGGAGGGTGTGTAGCTTGGGAAATTAGGAACAAAGTGGTTGTAGCCCTGAGCATCAGCTGGCTAGGTGGGATGGTGAGGCCAAGAGGGAGATTATCCCTCGTCCCTTCCATCCAGCCTTCTGTCTGCTCCAGCTGCCTCCTCCTATGACAGTCCAGGCTATTAAGGGTCCTGTGGTCAGAGCAACAGGTAGTTCCATGTTCGCTGGACACCCCACGATTGTCTAGGTGGCTTGAGACCTGTAGCTCTTATTTCTGTTTTTGCTTCCAGCCTCCTCTGGCCTTTTCCTCAGGAAGTCAGGCTAGGGGAACTTCCCCATCTGTTTTTGGGATTGGCTTTGGGGTGAAGAAGCATAGCAGGCAGTGCTTATGAAGGTTCTTGTATCCCTCATCTGCTGGTCCCTTCATCCTTCTGCCCCTTGGCCTTGATTCCAGCAGGTTCCATCTGGCAGCCTCCAAAGGCCTGACAGAATGTCTAACTATACTGCTTGCAAACGGGGCTGACATCAACAGCAAGAATGAGGACGGTGAGTTAGATCTTGCGCTGGGCCGCACTGCTGGTCTCTCCCTTCATTGCAGCAGTGGTGAGGGCTGACTGCTGGAGGTTCCAACTGTGGTCTCCCACTTCTCTCCCCATCAGTTCTGGCCAGCATCCTTCCGGGGGCTCCTCTCCCTGCAAACTGGTTTACCTCACCTCCACTCCCACCTCCAGCACAGGTTCCAGGCACTGGGGGAACAGGAATTTCAGGCCCTGTGTGGCTGAGAGCTTCTCTCTCTAATCTCCCCCTGATTATCTGTGCGTCTCTTGCCTTCCCTCCCTGTGAGTCATCGGCATGCATGGGGCCACCCACCTTCCATCTCCCCCTCTTTCTCTTTCCAGGAAGCACTGCCCTGCACCTGGCCACCATCTCCTGCCAGCCACAATGTGTCAAGGTCCTGCTGCAGGTAAGAGCACCCTCTTGATACTACTTTTGTGACGGGAAGAAATGGGCCCAGAATCTTCTAAATCTTCTGTGTCTTGTGGTCACAAGCAATGTTTGGTCAACAGGACCCCTCTCATCCCAAGTAAGAGAGCTGATCATCATGTATTCATTAATTCACAGATATTTATGTAACACCTACTATGGGCAGACACCACACTTAATGCTGCCCTTGAGGGCAGGTTATAAAGCAGAGCTCCCGGGGACTGCCTGCCAGTCATCCACATGCCATTGGCAGAGCCCCTGCAGAGACTAACCACCCAGCAGGTGGGCAAGTGAGAGGAGGACAGGAGTGTTCAAATTAATCCAGTGTTCCACTGTCTGCTTTTAAGGAGCTTGCAATCTGGGAGCACTAAGAGAAATATATATGTGAAATGACACGCAATCTATAAGCCGGTCTCCAAAAGTCCAAGAGGCATAGCTCAACAGGTCACTGGGCGAATGGCTGTTCTGCTTTTGTTCTTTCCAGACCTTTCCAAGTTCCCCAATTATGATCCTAAGATACCAGTCATGGACTCAGAAGTCATTTTCCCTAATGTGCCTATTTGTCTATAATCTGATTTTTCTTGGGCCCTAGGTTTAAGAACTGGGGCTGAAATTCAAGGCTGCCTATCCTCTGCAAGGAGTAGACTGGGCTTGCCTAGTAGTTGGCCAGAGCCACGGTCCTCCTTTCCCTCCCCGTAGTACTATGGAAGTTGATGACTCAACAGGTGGGTAGGTGATAAGGATGGTACTACCATGCCCCATGCTGCCTCCCTTGGTGGCTCTTTGCAGCATGGTGCCAATGAAGATGCTGTGGATGCAGAAAACCGAAGTCCATTGCACTGGGCAGGTGTGTGCCAAGGGGCTGGTGGGAAACAGGGCTGCAGGGACCAGGGGGCTGGAAGGGAGGGGAGGACAACATTTGGAGAGCAGGGTAGGCCAGGGCTGACTGCTAAGATGGTTGGAGGGAATGCAGGGCTGTAGTCTGAGTAGGTGTCCTGCCTGCTTCTCCTTAACCCAATCATCCCTCAACCCTCCCAGCCTCCTCTGGCTGTGCGTCAAGTGTGCTCTTGCTGTGTGACCATGAAGCCTTCCTGGACGTCCTGGATAATGTGAGTGTCAGCTGGGCAGTGTCCTGCACAGGGAGGCTGTTGTTCTCTCTGAGCTTGACTAGCTAAGTTCTGTGACCAGGGGTTATGCACATCTCCTCTTCCTTCTCCCTCCACTCCTCATCCTTTCTCTCATGGAGAGGTTAGTCCTTATCTTCTGGAGAGCTTCTAACCTTTCAGAAAGGAGAATTTTGCCCCTGGACCTGGGCTTTTTTCTGGAGACGTGTCGGGAGAGGGCAGTTGGTAGAATTGTCAAGCCCCTGGCTCTCTGGGCTCCTCTTGAACTTCCTTCCCACAATCTGTGCAGGATGGACGGACACCCCTGATGATTGCATCGCTGGGTGGTCACGCAGCTATCTGCTCACAGCTACTGCAGAGAGGTGCCCGAGTTAATGTCACAGACAAGGATGACAAGTGAGCCTTCTCTATCTCCCCATCCCAAATCCAGACATTGGCCACTCTAGAAAGGAGCCCCGGGGAAAATGTGTCTGCATGTGCATGTGTACGTGTATGTGTGTGTGTGTGTGTGTATGTGTGTGTTTGGGGGAAGAAAGAAGATTGGTCTCTGTTTTCTCAGGAACCTCCTTCATTCTGAGCGGTTGTTTGGAAGAGCTCTGGCTGCTGTTTTGCAGTTGAGAAAGTTTTCCTTAGACTTTCCTATTCAGTTGCTACCACCACCATTTTCCTGGCATAGATGACTCTGGAAGTAGAATCCATTCTTCTGGATCCATTAGTTCAATTTACTGGTTTTCAAACTACCTTCTAAGCAATGGAATCCTTTTTCCAATGAAGAATTTATGCAGAGGGATGCCTGGGTGACTCAGTGGTTGAGCGTCTGCCTTTGGCTCAGGGCATGATCCTGGGGTACTGGGATCTAGTCCTGCATCGGGCTCCCTCCAGGGAGCCTGCTTCTCCCTCTGCCTGTGTCTCTGCCTCTCTCTGTGTCTCTCTTGGATACACAAACACAAAAATCTTAAAAAAAAAAAGGAATTTATGCAGAACCTCAATATATACAGTAGTTGAAAATAGAGCCCTCCTAATTGGCCCTGGGCTTTCTGATGCTGCAGCTCTAAGAAACAACATTTGAAAAGTTCTGGTCTGGTCTAATGCTTTTTGCTGTTGGTTTGTGGTTCTCCTCACCACATTGAGTGAGATCTGACTCCGGGAGTGCAATTCCTGGAACCAGGACTCCTGGATTTCCTGGGGAAAGCCTATGCCTAGATTTGTCCCAACCCACAGATCGGCTCTGATCCTGGCCTGTGAGAAAGGCAGCGCTGAGGTGGCCGAACTGCTCCTGAGCCATGGAGCAGATGCAGGGGCAATGGACAGCATGGGGCATGGCGCTCTGCATTACGCTCTCCGCACACAAGACAAAGTGCTGTGCCAGCTGCTGCAGCAGGCTCTGAACCGCCGGGGGCAGCGGGGAGGTAAAGCTGAGTCCCTTTTGTAACTTCAAAATTCTTCTTAGGATCAAAGAAGCTTCTTAGAATGCCATTTGTTCCCATAGAAATAATCCCTCTGAAAAATAATTGTCACTTTAGGTGAGGGTTTACTTATTTATTACTGCTACTGTGAAATGACCCCAATATCCCAAAAGCATGGTCACAAAATTCCTTACTGCAGCCTTGTCTTTCTGAAGGCAACTCTGGCTTATACTACTGCTAGCATTTATGAGTTGTTATTGTGTATCTGTTTGTGTGATTTGTGAGTCAATCTCCATCTTCCCTACTAGACCGGAACCCCCCCAGATGACAGGCCATGGCTGTTCTGCTTACCAGAGGTCCTGGTGCCTATATCAGTGCCTGGCACAGCGTCCAATTAAATAAGTGAGCAAACAAAATGAATGAGCTAGCCTATCTCTGGGCTAAGGGAACCAGGAATGTTAGATACTTGGGGACCCATTCAACAGCAGTGGCTCCTGGAACCACAAAGATGTGTGTGGGAAGAGTCATCACATCGGGGGCTGTTCCTCTCAGAAAAAAACTGGAGATAGGGACACTTGGGTGGCTCAGTGGTTGAGCATCTGCCTTTGACTCAGGGCATGATCCTAGGGTCCTGGGATCAAGTCCCACATTGGGCTTCTTGCAGGGAGTCTGCTTGTCCCTCTGCCTATGTCTCTGCCTCTCTGTGTCTCTCATGAATAAGTAAAATCTTAGAAAAGAAAAGAAAAGAAAAACGAAAATAAGTCTGGAGATAAAGCGTGGGCTAGAAGAAGACCTGTCTCCACTTTCATTTTCCCCATGCTTTTTTCATATAGGTCAGGGGCTTGTTCAACATCCAGATCTTGCATCCCAGGTAAGACCCTATGTGTCTCTTGCTTCTGACCCACCCCAGGCTATCCCACTGGGGCATCTCCCAAATAGTGATCTTTGGGGACAACAAGACAGTCTAAGAGAGGAAAGGCCCTCCCGGGGCTAGACTAGCTGCTGCCTTTAACTCACTATTCCTTTTTCTATGTAGGCCTCTCCATCTGAGCCTCAGGTGGGTTCTCCACCTAAGAGCCCATGCAGAGCAGAGCCCGAGGAGGAGCAGGAGGAAGAGGAGGAGGAAGACCCATGCTCAGATGAGTGGAAGTGGAAGTATGAAGAGGAGCAGAGGAAGGTTTCCCAGTTGGAGCAGGAGCTGGTGCAAAAGACTGAAGAGGCTAAGGTTCAAGCTGCAGCCTACCTGGGCCTGGAGAACCATATTCGAGAGCAGGTGCACGAGCTGGGGCTCCTCCTATCCCAAGAGCCTGGAGCTCCAGGAGGGCAGAGCTCTAGTCTCCGGCCTGGAGGAGATGGTATGGAGCATGGCTGTCCCTTGGGCCTGCTGGCTCAGCGCATTCAAGAGCTAAGGAAGTGGCAGCAGGCAGCAGCTGTAGCCCCAGCCAACTTGGTGTCAGCTTCTAAGAAGGCTGAGGATTCAACCACAGGGGAGATTCAGTATGAAGCCCACAGAAAGTTCCAACCAGAACAAGAGCCACCCCAGAGCCCAACTTGTGAGACCATTGGGAAAGCCACAGGACAGCAGCTGACCACCAACGGTGGACAGGCCCTTGGCCCTGATCATACTGACAAGCCACGTGCCGGCCAGAAAGAGAGGCCCTGGGCCCCAGGGGCTGAACCGACAGGCACAGTGGCTGAACCCCTGGGCACAACAGCCATGAATCAGCTCCTACTACAACTGAGGGAAGAGCTGGCTGCGGTGTGGCGAGAAAAGGATGCTGCGCGGGGGGCTCTGTCAAGACGGGTCCTGGAGGGAGCTCTGGGGACACCCCAGGCTGAGGCTGCAGCAGCTGCCTGGGAGAAGATGGAGGCCAGGCTGGAGCAGGTGCTGGTGAGGCTGGATCGGGCAAAGGCAGGATTACAGGTGAAACCTCAGGCTGCTGCCCAGGAGGCCAGAGAGGGAGCCCCAAAGGCAGAGCCAGCGACCATCACCAAAGAGAATGAAGGCGGGCAGAAGAGGGCTCCTGGGGCCCCGGGGGAGCCTGGAGGGGAGCAGATGCGAGGAGGAGGTCTGGCCAAGGGACAGCTGGAGAAGGAGGTAGCAGCACTGAGACTGTGCAATACTAACTTGCTGGAGGAGCTGGGGGAGCTGGGGCAGGAGAGGCGGCGCTTGCAGGGGGAGCTGCAGTCCCTGAGCCAGCGGCTGCAGCGGGATTTCGTTCCCAGGCCCGAGGCGCACGTCCAGCTCTTGCAGTTGCGGCGGAGTGTGGGGCTGCTGACAGACGAACTGGCCCTGGAGAAGGAGGCCACCGAGAAACTGCGGAAGCGCCTGGCTTCCCAGACCAGTGGCCTCCAGGGGCTGTGGGACTCCCTGCCGCCCGACCTGGTGGGGGAGGGCAGCGCGGGGCGCGGGGCGGCGGAGCCCCTGGAGGAGCTGCGGGCCTGCATCAGCGCCCTGGTGCAGCGGCACCGCGAAGGCCAGAAGGCGCTGGCCCGCCTGGAGCACGAAAACCGGCAGCTGCGGGAGCCCCCCGGCCCGGGCCCCTCCTCCAAGGCCCCGGCGCCCCCCGAGGTGGCCGCTCTGGAGCAAGACCTGGGGAAGTTGGAGGAGGAGCTGCGGGCCGTCCAGGCCACGATGAGCGGGAAGAGCCAGGAGATCGGGAAGCTGAAGCAGCTGCTCTACCAAGCCACCGAGGAAGTGGCCGAGCTGAGGGCCCGGGAGGCCGCCAGCCTGAGGCAGCACGAGAAGACCCGGGGTTCGCTGGTGGCCCAGGCCCAGGCCTGGGGCCAGGAGCTGAAGGCTCTGCTGGAAAAGTATAACGCGGCGTGCCGGGAGACGGGGGCGCTGCGCGAGGCCGTGGCCGAGGAGCGGCGCCGCAGCGGGGAGCTGGCGGCGCGGGCGGCCGAGCAGGAGCGCCGGGCCGGCGAGATGCGCGGCCGCTCCCAGCAGTTTGAGGAAACGGCCGAGCGGTTCAGAGACAAAGTGGAGCATCTCAGCGGCGCTTGCCGGGACAAGGAGGCCAAGGTGAGCCGGCCGGGCAACCATCGGAGCAAGGGGTGCTTCGGGGTCGCTAACGTGCATCTAGCTTGGTTTAGTCGGATGAATACCTTGAGCGCAACAGCAAGTCCTTTGCAAGGACCACCGTGTTCTCCCGGGTCTCGGGGCTTGGGGGTCGGCATCCGAGGTGAGGCTAAGGTGGAACTAGGAGAGAGACCCGGGCCTACGTACTCAAGTTTGGGATTCAGGATTCAGAAGCCGAGCCGTCAGAGCTAGCGAGCTCCTGCCCTGGAGTACTACGGCTTATTAACGTGTTCACTTAAAAAGATTAGCCCAGGAAGAGGCCTGATCATATTTATATGGTGGGTTGTTGTGGTTTTGCTAGGGTTCTGGGGAGGTCACTTGGGGCCCACGGGTTTGGAAAAGTAGACTAGCCCGAAGCTCCTCTTCTCCCCTCCCACTTCAGTCAGAGTGAGTTCTACAAAAGATTTCCACTGGCAAAGAGAAAACCAAGGCAAATAAATAAATAAATTAATTAATAAATAAATTAATTAATTAATAAGACATACATACATACATACATACCGCTGTTAGAAACCAGAGTTTTCCAGTGATTCCTCCAAAAGTCAGTGTAATGCTTCGAGGAGACATGTCTAATGAATTCTAAAAAATCAATTTCCAAACGAATTTAGTAATTTTAGAACTACCTGTGAAATGAATGAAATCGATGAAATCGGATGTCTTATTAAAAGTTGTGTACATGCTCAAATGTAGAGTGATATAAAAAACATATAGGGAGTATATACTTCAGAGCATGAACCATACATTCAAGGAGATCTTGGTTCAAATCATTATTTCATTACTTATTAGCTGTATAGTTTTGACAAGTTACTTAACTCAGTCTCCTTATCTACAAAATGTGAATACTAATACTTCCCTCAGAGAAGGATTGTTCTCCTCAGAACAGAAGAAGAGCTTTCTTGAGTGTTGAGACAACGTGTGTAAAAGTATCTGGCATACAGTACATATCCACTAAAAGGAAGTTGACCTTGACCCTGGGTGGTATTGGAGTGGGGAATGACTTGGGCCTCCTCAGTTCCCTTTCTTTCTTGGTGGCTTCAGATCAAGGAGTTGTTGAAGAAGCTGGAGCAGCTTTCAGAGGAGGTCTTAGCAGTTCGGGAAGAAAATGCTCACCTTGCTCTGCAGCTGCAGGTATGTTCTGCCCTCAGGGAAATAGACGCTGCTAGAGAAAAGGGTGGCCAATGGAAGTGATGCACGTGTGGGAAAGATTCTGGGAATTATAGAGGCCTGGCCACGCAGTGGGCCAGGCTGGGCAGTGGTGGGCTAAAGGAGACTGAGCTGATCACTTCATTCTTCTTCCTTTTTTATTTTTGTTTTAATTATTTTAAACATTTTATTTATTTATTCATGAGAGACACGGGGCGGTGGGGGGAGGGGAGGCAGAGACACAGGCAGAGGGAGAAGCAGGCTCCGTGCAGGAAGCCTGACATGGGACTGGATCCTGGGACTCCAGGATCACGCCCTGGGCTGAAGGCGGCACTAAACCGCTGAGCCACCTGGGCTGCCCCCTAATTTTTATTTAAATTCATTTTAATTAACATATAGTGTATTATGAGTTTTAGGAATAGAATTCAGTGATTCATCCGTTGGATATAACATCTGATACTCATTCCATAAGTGCTCTCCTAATGCTCATCATCCAGTTGCCCCATCCCCCCTCCACCTCCCCTCCAGCAACCCTGTTTGTTTCCTAGAGTTGAGTCTCTTATATTTTGCCTCCCTCTCTGTTTTTATTTTTCCTTCCCTTCCCCTATGTTCATCTGTCTCTCTCTCTCTCTCTTAAGATTTTATTTATTTATTCATGAGACACACAGAGAGAGGGGCACAGACACAGGCAGGGGGAGAAGCAGGCTCCACACAGGGAGCCCGATGTGGGACTCGATCTCGGGGTCTTCAGGATCATGCCCTGGGGGCACTAAGCCACCGAGCCACCCGGGCTGCCCTGTTCATCTCTTTTGTTTCTTAAATTCCATATATGAGGGCAGCCTGGGTGGCTTGGCAGTTTAGCGTAGCCTTCAGCTCAGGGCCTGATCCTGGAGACCCTGGATCGAGTCCCACGTCGGGCTCCCTACATGGAGCCTGTTTCTCCCTCTGCCTGTGTCTCTACCTCTCTTTCTCTCTCTCTCTGTTTCTCATGAATAAATAAAATCTTTAAAAAAATTCACATATGAGTGAAATCATGTGGTATTTGTCTTTCTCTGACTTGTTTTGATTAGCTTAATACCCTCTAGTTCCATCCATGTCATTGCAAATGGCAAGATTTAATTCGTTTTGAGTAGTATTCTGAGTAGTATTCTATATTGTATATATATCACATCTTCTTTATCCATTCTTCTGTCAGTGGACATCTGGGTTCCTCCCATAGTTTGGCTATTGTGGATATTGCTGCTATACACATTGGGGGCAAGTGCCCTTCAGATCACTATGTTTGTATCCTTTGAATAAATACTTAGTAGTGCAATTGCTGGGCCATAGGGATAGTTCTATTTTTAACTTTTTGAGGAACCTCCATACTGTTTTCCAGAGTGGCTACACCAGTTTGCATTCCTACCAACAGCTCACCACTTCATTCTATTGTTCCTCATGAGGGGCTGTGTGTGTCAGGGTGGGTGTACTAGGGTGGGCACATAATCTCTCATTGACGCTCACTCCCAGGATTCCCAGAAGAACCACGAAGAGATCATCTCCACCTACAGGAACCATCTGCTGAATGCCGCTCAGGTGAGCAAGGGAGGAAGTAGAGACAGAGTGCTGGGCAGGGGGTGTTACATTTGAGATCCTTCCTCTTACCTGCACATACCTGTCATTTCTTGGAAAGCTGGACTTTAGATGTTCCAGTGCCAGGTGTCTAGATCTCATTAGGTAGATCAAGAGATCAAGAGAGGATGTGCATGAATGTGAGGGGGAGAGAGTGTTTACCCCTCCTTGCCAATTCCCTGATCCTTTGTGAACTCCCTGAAAGGCCTTTTCCTGTCCCTTATGCCCTTTCTCAGTTTCATCCTGAGCTAAATATGTCTCACCAAGGAAGAAGAGCTGGGTGGCTTGCTCCTTTATTAGGAAGAATGGTAACTACAAAGAACAGATCATTTGTCCTGTATCAGGTGCTCTGCTTCATAGTCATTGGCTTTTTAGCCCTCACAGCAGTCCCAGAAAGTAGACATTATTATCTTCCTTGTAAAGACCAGGAGACAGCCATAGAGAAGTCACACACTGTAAACCAGGGTGCGTAGTAAATAGCATTCCACTAAACCACAGAATGTTCCCTTGCCTGTCTCTCCCCATTTTCTCTTCTTTGTCCCCTTTTCTTTCCTTCCTGCCACTTACAGGGCTACATGGAACAAGACGTGTACAATATCTTGCTGCGAATCCTCAGCATCCAGGAAGAGTAAGGCAGCCGGTCCCCTGAGGGATGTGCCATTTGTCTGTGGTGAGTTGTGGATCAGGGTGACGAAGGATGAACCTGGAGAAAGGACTTGGGGAGAGAGACTTACGGATGGGATTTGGAGTCTTCTTTGGCTCCTTGTGGTGGTGGCTGACACGGGGAGCCCTGTGGGGCATAGAGCATTTGAAGTGAGGTCAGTTGAGAAGACACAATCTGGGGAATCACTGGGTAGAAGCAGGAATCAGGGAACAGGTAGACTGCAGGGGACTAAAAAGACTTGCCGAATGGCTCTCCTAAGGCCCAGGCTAGAGATGCCAGTGAAAAGTAGCCATGGTGGCAGAGTGGCAGGGCGTTGTTTGCCAGGGTGGGACCTCATGAACTCCAGAATCTCTCCTTCGCTCACACACTACTCATTCAGAGAGCAGTCACCCCTGACTCTTCTTGCCACCCCTGTTCAGCTGGCAGTTTTTTCCAGTCCAGGTAGATGACATCCCCGTTAGCATCTTGGCATGGGTGGGAGGGGACTGAGGAGATGTGTGTGCATTTCACCCTTGAATATCTTCTTTCAGGAAGTAGGAGCATCCCTGGTTGCCAGAGGCTCCACCAGGATGTGGAGAAGGGCAGGGGGCAGGCGGTGAGGATGGGTAGGTGGGGTTTCACCTGACAGTATGGAGCCCAGACCTGAGAACCTGAAGCCTGGAATCATCACGGATGAGACCAGAGAAGGTGCACATGGAGGCCAGCTCTGTGAAAATAAAGCAGGAGGCAGTGTGGTGTTGGGTGTCATGGTTTTCTCTGTTGGAAGGGGAGTGGGGGAAGGAGTCTTTTTCATTCTTATTCCTTTTTTTTTTTTAAATCACAAATGGCCCCAAAAGTCAGCAGCTTTCAAACTTTATGAGCCACAGTAAGAAATACACTCTATATGGTGGTGCATATATCTGAAATAGTATTTACCCTTATTGTTTTCATTTTATAATATTCTCTATTATATTCCATGGAAAAAATATTTCTCAAAATACCCCTACTAATGGGTCAAGACCCACGTTTGAAAAACAGCTCTCTGTAGAAATGGAGATTGATATTCTTTCTCAAATTTGTCTCTATTTGTTTCTATATCTTATGATTCCTGCATCCACTATCTTTTTTAAGGAGGAGAGATTGAGAGATTTGGGTTTTCTTCATGCTGTACAGTCTAAAATATTTGTGTGTCAAATTATGCATCTAGATATGAGGCACAGGGGCTCACATGGTCTGTGTTCTTTGCCCAGGTACAAAGTGGGATGGAAAGTCTGATTCCCGGGAAAGGGGGGAAGGGATACTCAGAACTAGCTTTTTCCCTCCCGTTCTGTTCTCAGACTAAAAAAATATATCTCTCTTGGCCACTTCCCATGGGTCTCCTCTCCTTCCTGTCCCTCCACCAGCCAGACTGCTAGGTGAGACACCCGGCAGTGAATTCCTCCCCAATCTCGAACTGCGGTTTGGATCCCTCCCTGTTCCTTCTCCCAGCCCACCCCCTGCTGGGTTTTGCTGGGTCGGAGGAGGCCACAGTTTGGCAGTAAAGAGCCTGACCGCGTGGAAAGAAGACTGGGGAGGGGCTACAGCGGAAGATAGGGGGCCCGCTCCAGGGTTTGGCCCAGAAGAGAGCAGCTGTGTAGATCACATCCTAGAGAAGATGACAGTCAGCTTTGGGATTTATGTGGATGGGTACAGGACTGCTTTGAGGCAGGAAGAATGGGGACCAGAGGGGTTGATGGGGAAAGAGGGTACAGCTGCCCGAAAAGAGCATCAGAAAGATCCGAGTCATTGCCATTAAGGGGAACAGAACCTCTTTTCCTTCCTGCTCTTTGAGTTACCAAAGAATATAAAAGGACTGTTAGAATCCTTATTATTTATAGATTGTGGGGTGGGAAGAATGAAAAAACTGAGAGGGTCCAGATGGGGGTGGGGTGGGGGGGTGGAGCTTATTTGGCTAAGTTCAAATATGAGGCAGGAAGCAGCTTTGGTAAAGCTGATCCTAGGATGGCTGAGCTATGGGAATGGTCAGTGATGTTAATGCCAACACAGGATGGAACCTTCCCCATCCCCTGGGCTTCCCAAACAATATTCCTTTATACAACCCCATAAACTCTTACCCCAACAACCCCAAACCCTGAAATGTATCCTTGATTTCATAAACAAATCTTTATTTCCCAAAGTAACTCTAGTCCTACTGTGTGCACCTCCCCACCCCCCACCCGCCCCATTCCTCCCAGGCTGTTGGTCTAACGGGACTTAAGTAGGGACTTCCTACTCCTGTTTCTCTCCCCCCTTGTCCCTCAGGCTTCACATGTAGGAGTATATGGGTAGGAGTAGGTAAAGCTTGGTCACCACAATGGGGTCAGACTATGTCTTTGAATGCCTTCAATCTGGAACTTGGTCCTGATTTGCAGTTTCCCTCCTTTGTTTGATAACATTAAATCATTAAACTGATATTGCATGAGTCTACTATGGGCCAGGCACTGGGGATAGAGTAGCACCACAGAAAAGATTAAAAGATTCTTGTCCTTGCTGAGCTGGAATACAGGATCAAATTCAGGCACCCTAGTTCCTACTTTTCAACGATCCTGTAGGGATGCTGGAACTCACAACTTCAAATTAACTATTAAAGGAGAGCCCTGGGGCAGCCCTGGTGGTTCAGCGGTTTAGCGCCGCCTTCAGTCCAGGGTGTGATCCTGGAGACCCATGATCAAGTCCCATGTCGGCCCCCTGCATGGAGCCTGCTTCTCCCTCTGCCTGTGTCTCTCTGCCTCTGTGTGTGTGTGTGTGTGTGTGTCTCATGAGTAAATGAATAAAAATCTTTAAAAAAAAATAAAGGAGATCCCTCCTTGGGGTGCCTGGGTGGCTCAGTGGTTGAGTATCTGCCTTTGGCTAAGGTGGTGATCCTGGGGTCCTGGGATCGAGTGCCGCATTGGGCTTCCTGAGAGGAGCCTGCTTCTCCCTCTGCCTATGTCTCTGCCTCTCTCTGTGTGTCTCTCATGAATAAATAAATAAAATCTTAAAAAAAAAGAGCCCTCCTTTACAAAACCATTAGTATTCAAGCTGAGGTTGACATTCTTTTTTTACTTTTACATTTTTACAGCTTTTTTTTATTTTTTTATTTTTTTAATTTATTTATTTTTAATTTGTTTATGATAGTCACACACACATACAGAGAGAGAGAGAGAGAGAGAGAGAGAGAGAGAGAGGCAGAGACACAGGCAGAGGGAGAAGCAGGCTCCATGCACTGGGAGCCCGACGTGGGATTCGATCCCGGGTCTCCAGGATTGCGCCCTGGGCCAAAGGCAGGCGCCAAACCACTGCGCCACCCAGGGATCCCACATTTTTACAGCTTTAATGAGTTATAATAATTGCCATTCAATAAATGCATGTATTTAAAAGTGTACAGTTTGGTAAGTTTTGACATATGTATATACCCATAAAACCATCACACAACGAACATATCTGGGGCCCCTGGGTGGCTCAGTCAGTTAAGCATCCTCCTTCAGCTCAAGCCAAGATCCTGGGGTCCTGAGATTGAGCCCCACATGGACTCCCTGCTTAGCCGGGGAGCCTGCTTCTCCCTCTCTCTCTGCCTCTGCTCCCTTCTCGTGCTCTCTCTCTCTCTCAAATAAGTAAATGAAATCTTTTTTTAATAAAAAGATAATGATGGGATCCCTGGGTGGCGCAGCGGTTTGGCACCTGCCTTTGGCCCAGGGCGCTATCCTGGAGACCCGGGATCGAATCCCATATCGGGTTCCCGGTGCATGGAGCCTGCTTCTCCCTCTGCCTATGTCTCTGCCTCTCTCTCTCTCTCTCTCTCTCTCTCTCTCTGTGACTATCATAAATAAATTAATTAAAAAAAATTTAAAAAAAAGATAATGAACTTATCTATCACTCCCAAAGAATCCCCCCTTCTCTTTTTTTATCCTCTCAATCTTCCTTCTCTCCAAATCACTGAAATTTCTATGAGATATACAAACTAATTCATAGGAACTTTTGACCTAGAGGACTGAACAGAACAACAACAACAACAAAAAAAAAAAACAAGCTCTGGGCCTGATGAAAACTCAAGTGTTGGAGGGGGCAGTTGGGATTTTTTTTTTTTAAGATTTTATTTATTTGACAGAGAGAACAAGTAGGGGGAGCAGCAGAAGCACACGCCCTACTGAGCAGTGAGCCTACTGCAGGGCTTGATCCCAGGATCCTGGGACCCTGACCTGAACCAAAGGCAGAGACTTAACCGACTATGCCACCTAGGCACTCTGGCAGCTAAGACTTAGAATCAAATACTTGAGCTTGAGTTTAGCTTGAGGTCTTACCTGGGAGTAGGGAGTATAGCAACAGGGAAAGAACCTGAGTGTCAGGAGAGGGTGCACATCTTCCCTATGGACAAAATCCACAAAGTATTTGGTCATGGTCCAATTCAACAGGTATCTGGGGAGGTTGCTAGGCTGGTACCTTCATTCTTGTGGCTTGGGTAGGGTCTCATGGGAAGGATTATACTGAAGGTTTAAGCTATATGGGAGGGTTATTCATATTATTATTATTTTAATGCCAATTATAGGTTTAACTGTCTTGCTGCCACTGCTAGACCAAGAGCTCCTGAAAAGCTTTTTATCTCCTCAGCACCTAACAATCTCTGAACAGCATTCAAATGTTTGTTGAACAAATGACATAACGGCTTAGGTCCCAGCCAACTAACCTAAAATGCTGAGTTTTTCCAGTATGTAGTTTGGGTAAACTGCCCTAATTTTGGTGCTTGAATTGGTACCTGCATGTGAGTGATCAGCCTGGTTGAGAATGGCCTCTCTGGGGATGCCTGGGTGGCTCAGTGGTTGAACATCTGTCTTCAGTTCAGGTCGTGATCCTGCGACCCTGGGAATCGAGTCTAGTCTAGCATAAGGCTCCCAACAGGAAGCCTGCTTTTCCCTCTGCCTGTGTCTGTCTTTCTGTGTCTTTCATGAACAAGTAAATGTGTATATATATATATATATGTAAATATATATAAAAATATATTTTATTATTTTTTTAAATTTATGATGGTCACAGAGAGAGAGAGAGAGAGAGAGGCAGAGACATAGGCAGAGAGAGAAGCAGGCTCCATGCACCGGGAGCCCGATGTGGGATTCGATCCCGGGTCTCCGGGATCGCACCCTGGGCCAAAGGCAGGCGCCAAACCGCTGCGCCACCCATGGATAAAATATAAATATATATATATATATTTTAAAGAGAATGGGGTCTCTGGAAGGTCAAAGGCTTTGGAAGAAAAGTAGGCAATTCAGAGACGGGCAGGAAGACGACTGTTTTGGGAAGAAAACCTCCCCTCTGTTCACCTTCAGCCCCACCAAAGGCGTGGGGTCTCCGGCGACGGTCTGAGTATTTGGGGTAGGGGGTGAGGGACCACAGGTAGACTTGGGGCTTAGGGTCCACTTTAGATTCTAGCAGCCCAGGCTTTCCCCCAGGGAGAGGAGTCTCATTCCAAGTAGGAACCTCTTCAGGCGGCCAGATCCCAGTCGGCCCGGCCTTCCTTGCAGCATGATCACGCCGGGCGGGCAGAGCAGCGCAAGGGGTCGGAGCAACAGTGGGCAGGTTGAGTCCTCCCTTCCCACCCGTTCGCTCACGCACTCATTCAAGGAGTTAAGCTCTGGGCGCGGGTCTCGGAGCCCCTCCCCTCCCCGCTTCCGACCCCGCCCCCTCCCCCGCCTCCGCGGTCCTGGCGGGCTCACCCGGAGGGGGCGGCCCCAGCCCCAGCGCCGGGCCGGGCGGAGCTCGCGTCCGGGCGGAGCTGCCGCTGCAGCGTCCAGCTGCGGGACCGACCGACCTCCAGCCTTGCAGCCCCCCCACCTCCCCGGCCCACCCTCCGAGCCTCCCGAGCCCCCTCCCCGCTCCCCGCAGCTGTGCTGGTAAGTCCCGCTCGTCGCACCAAACTTTTTTGCTGCGGAGTTTGAGTCCTGCCGCGGGACCACAGGCAGCACTGCAGTTGGTTGGCCGGGAGTAGGGTGGGGGTGGGGGGCGAGGGATCGAGAACAGCCGTCCTGATCGTCACCACTGCACAGCTTCTCCGAAGCGGATCAGATCTCACCCATTCCCCGAGTTGGTAGAACTCTTGACTTGAGCTGGTTAAACTCGTCGAGGAGGAGATGACGGTATCTGCTCCAACTTCGCCACCCCTCCCCCATTTCTCTAAGATTTAGCAGTTCTCGCTACTTTCCCTCCGTATTTCGAGTGTCTCTGGCTCTCTAAAAGCTCACCCCCTCCCAGTCCCGGCGTGGCAGAGCCCTCCCTCAGGCGCTGCGGGCCCGCCTCCTCTTCATCACCCCCGGGGACCCTCCGCTCTGGCACCCCAGCCGGAGCCGCGCAGGGGCTGGGTCCGGGCGGAGGGAGGGGCCGAGGCCGGCGCCTGTCCGGAGCCGGGCGGGCGGGGCCGGGAGGGGAGGCGTAGGGGCCGGACGGGGCGGAGCAGGCGGCATTTGCGGCGGGCGCCGGGGTGGAGAGTTGTGCGCCGGTCCCTGGGCCTGGGCTCGGGCTCGGGCTCGGGCGCCGGCGATGTCTCAAGATGGCGGAGCTGGGCGAGTTAAAGGTACCGGCCCCCTCCCCCAGCCCCGTGTGGACCGCGCCCGCGGTACGCCGAGTCTGGGAGGCGACCGAGCCCGGGTGCCGAGGGCTCGGCGGGGGCGGGGGGCGCGGAGACGTGGCGGAGACCGGCTGCCCGAGCGGGAGCCGAGCGGCGGCGGGAGCGGACCGGGCTGCCTCGGGGGCGGGGCCGCGGGGCAGATGCAGGGGTGGGGCCGAGGGGAATTGCCGCTGTCGGGGGCCTAGGCGCAGGGGGCGGGGACGCGGGGGTACCGGGCGGATTTGGTGGTCGGGGCGGGTGGAAGAGGAAGGCCGAGGTCAAAGCTGCTGCGGGGGCGCAGGGGGCGAGTAACCGAGGCCACGAGAGGCGACAGTAGGGGGCAGATGTGGGGCTGGGACGGGGGCAGAGGCGCGGAGGCGCCTGCGGCGGTGCGGCCGAGGGGATGGCAGCTCTGGGGCTGCCGCTGGCATCCGAGCCTGGGGAAGTACCAGCGGGCGGCGGAGATCCCGGGGGCGGGGCCGCGCGGGCTGCGGGTTCGAGGGCGGGGAGGAAGCCGCTGCCCTAGTGAATCGGTCTTTGGGCTTAGGTACGGGAGTGTGAGGCTGGGATGGAAAGGGGACGTTCTTGACAAAGCCAATGGAGAAATAAAAACAGGACAGAGGAAATAAGGGTGGGAGAAAGGTAGATGGGCACGTTTTTCACCGCATTCCTCAAAAGGGGCCCGAAGCCATCGAGGCTCCTGTGAGGGGGCGGATTGTGGCCGGCTGGCGAAGCCTGCCCGTGACAGGGTCTCCCAGGGAGGCACAGAGGGTGTCCTTTTGCGAGAGAGCGCGCGGTGCCCTCCTACTGCCACACAGGCTGGAGGGTACCCCTATCGGAGGACATCTCACAGAACCTTAAAAAAACCTCTGGGTTCATCCCCCTGCCTCCTGGCTTTGTTCAGCCTTTTGAAATGGAGCCGTAGTCTTTGGCGGGCTAGTCGCTGGGTCCAGCTGCCTCTAGGAGAACTTGCAGGTCTGCCCCCAGGCTCGGAAGGCGCCCCAGCCTTCTCGTCTCCCCAGGGCCCCTGCTTAGAGCTTAGCCCTCTCCTCTTCCCCGCTATGGAGGGGGGAGGATTACTTATTTTCTCCATGTAGGAGAGAAACAGGATATTAGTTCCTGGCAGATGGAGTTAACAGGTAAACAAGAAAGTAACCTGGACTGGGTGATTTACTATTAACCCCTTTGCCCCAAGTTTCGGTCGCTTATCTCCTAGAAGAATAGGACTGAGAGAAGGGTGTTGATGCTTACAAAGGATTTGGGGGGAAGTTACAAGCATTGAACCCTGACCTGAAAACCCTGGCCACAAACGCTTCAGAGGCTTGGGGAAAATAGCTGAGGTGGCTTGAAGTGTTGGGAGGGGTGTGCCATGGTGCACAATCCTCTGGCCACCTGCCCCCTTTCTTCCCTGTGGGGCTGTCTGGCCTGAATCCTCTTCTCCCCCTCCTTCTCCCTGTCTCCTACCCTCTTTCCAGGAGGCTGGGTTGGGTCTGAGAGTCTGAGAAAGGGCAGGAGAGGAGATAAGCAGCTTAAAGGAGCGTCTAGGCTCAAGGCAGGGTTGGAAGTAGGAGGCCATAGTGGACTCGGAGGTGTGCCTGTGGATGGCTTGCTGCCTGCACCCTGCCCCACCTGGCCAGGTTACAGGCACGGGGAGATAGGGTTACTCAGGCTCTGTGGGGGGGGAGGGCAGTGGTAAGGCTGACCTGAGGGCTGCTGAATGGGACTGAGATGTCCCTTTGGCCAGATTGGCTGTCCGGCTGTAATCACTGGCTGCAAAGCATATTTCTCTTGGGGAGGGGGGCGGGGGGGGCACTGCCTCTTTGGCAGTATTCTCAAATGTCTCTGTTCTCCGCAGCACATGGTGATGAGCTTCCGGGTGTCTGAGCTTCAGGTTCTGCTGGGCTTTGCTGGCCGGAACAAGAGTGGACGGAAGCACGAGCTCCTGGCCAAGGCCCTGCACCTGCTCAAGTCCAGCTGTGCCCCCAGTGTCCAGATGAAGATCAAGGAGCTTTACCGCCGACGCTTTCCCCGGAAGACCCTGGGCCCCTCTGATCTCTCCCTCCTCTCTCTGCCCCCTGGCCCCCCTCCTGTCGGCTCCCCTGGCCCTCTTACTCCCATTCCCCCTGCCCTCTTGGCCCCTGGCACGCTGCTGGGCCCCAAGCGTGAGGTGGACATGCACCCTCCTCTGCCCCAGCCTGTGCACCCTGATGTTACCATGAAACCATTGCCCTTCTATGAAGTCTATGGGGAGCTCATCCGGCCCACCACTCTCGGTATGGCTCTGCCTCCTCCATCTTCCTGAATCTTACCTCTTGCCCAAGCCTTAGGCTTTAGTCCTGTGGGATCAGTGGCCTGGGATGGGGGCAGTGTCTGTGGCTGCCTGTCATGGGCTCAGGAGTAACTGCTCCTTTGTGTCCTCAGCGTCCACTTCTAGCCAGCGGTTTGAAGAGGCACACTTTACATTTGCCCTCACACCCCAGCAAGTGCAGCAGATTCTCACATCCAGGTACCTCTCTCCCCACCCTCCTACCTCTGACCTGGGTTGGTTATCCCGGGACTCTGCTCTCTGCCTTTCTTCTCGTCTGTCCTTGTCTCCTGCCTGTCCATCCTTCTGCACCTGTGTCATCTCTCATTCTCTTGTGCATCTCTTCTCTATCTCTGGGACATGTAACTGTATCTCTGTCTATTCAGCCTGGCCCTCTGGGGGCCACATCCTGATGTGTTTCCCTCTCCTCCCTGTCATAGAGAGGTTCTTCCAGGAGCTAAATGTGACTATACTATCCAGGTGCAGCTCAGGTGAGTTGATCCTCCCGCCTCCTTCCCTGCTGGGCTTCCACTGGGGGTGGGAATGAAATAAGGGTATGTCAGACACTGCTAGGAGATAGCCCTGCTGTGCTACGTCCACCCTGACCCTGGGACTCCTGTGGGTGCTGAGGGCTACAGCTACAGAGATCCATGACCGGCTGACTGTCTGTCAGCTTCAACTCAAAGAGACTTCCCCCACCCTTTCATCTTTTCTTCTCTTACCAGATTCTGTCTCTGTGAGACCAGCTGCCCCCAGGAGGATTATTTCCCCCCCAACCTCTTTGTCAAGGTCAATGGGAAACTGTGCCCCCTGCCGGTAAATGCTCTTCCCTTCTTCTGGCAGTAACCCCCTTCCCTCTTTCAGTTCTTAAATGTTAAATACAAACGTATTAATGAAGAGATGTGTGTAGCACAGTGCCTGGTACATAGTAGGTACTCAGCGTATTGAGTGATGGATACAATCTAGAGGATACTAAGATAGGGTTGATGCCCAAGGGTTCTGTCAGAACCCAGAGGAAGCACATCAGTTCAACCCAAAGGTTCAGGGAAGATTTCTCTGAAGCGATGACCTCAGAGCTGAAAGTTAGAAGTAGTGGGGCATCCCTGTTCTTCCTCCTCAGGAGCTCAGTGAGTGGGTTTCTATTTCCCTGGTCAATAAATAAGCTCTTCTTTCTCCCCAGGAATGAACCCCACACACAACCCTAGATAGTGCTTCAGTTTTGTGAGTCACTGAACGGGCCCCCATGTCCCTGGTCAGTGAGTGAGCTGGTCTTCCTTCCAGGAAGTGAGTAACCTGAGACAAGATGTCTTGACCAGCCCCTCCCTTCCCTAGGGTTACCTTCCTCCTACCAAGAATGGGGCTGAGCCCAAAAGGCCTAGCCGCCCCATCAACATCACACCTCTGGCTCGACTCTCAGCCACTGTTCCCAACACCATCGTGGTCAACTGGTCATCTGAGTTTGGACGGGTGAGCAGGGCTGGGGCAGGGAGCCTGGAGAAGCCTGCAGGGGGTGAGGGGCATCGTCCAGTGTCCTGGGTTGGGAAAACATCTTCCTCTTTATGGGTCTTTCTGCCTTAACCCGTTGTCTCTGATCCTCATGGGACAAAGGGTTGGGGTGGTGGTGGTGGTGGTGGCGATGAGCAGAGCAGAGGCTAACTGCCTCCCCCTACCTCCAAGTAGAACTATTCCTTGTCTGTGTACCTGGTGAGGCAGTTGACTGCAGGGACCCTTCTACAAAAACTGAGAGCAAAGGGTATCCGGAACCCAGACCACTCTCGGGCACTGAGTAAGTAACATCCTGCCCCTCTTTCCCGCTCTGATTTGGATCCAAGTCTTCCTGGTCCTCCAGCTTTTAAAACCAAACCCATTCCCCTCTTGTGCCAAGTATCCCTCACGTCTCACCTGAACCCCAATCCTCCCCCTATCCCCTTACTAATCTTCATGGTTGAGAAGTTAGCGGACTCCCAGGCACTGAGTGATACCCTTGCATTCTCAGTTATACATCTGCTTTGTACCTCACAGACCCTGTCTCCAGCCCTGCTGGGATATGGCTTCTTTAGACTGGAAGAGTTAAGGATCATGTAATGTAACTCTCTTATGCCTCAGTTCCCTCTAAGTCATCTCTGCCAAAGTGTCACCCAGCTTTATTTAAGCATCTTCAGGGATGGAGAAATCTCTCCTTCACACCCAGTCTTCATGTGATATCCTACTGGCCTCAAAGACCACCCCCATATGACATCCCATTGGCCCCCAAAGGCACTCTGCCTAGCTGCTTCTAAGCCAGAGCCATCTGCTGCTGGCCTCACTACCTCCTAGGCTTCATCTCCAGCTCTGCTGACCCCATGGCTCTGGTCTCATTCTTGTTTCAGTCAAGGAGAAATTGACCGCTGACCCAGACAGTGAGGTGGCCACTACAAGTCTCCGGGTGTCACTCATGTGCCCGGTAGGTACAAGGGAGATGAGAAGGGGGAGGGAGGTTGGGTTTAACTCTGGACCCAGTTGAGGGTTCCTAGGGCTACCAGAGTGAGACTTCCGGGAATATAGGGACTCTGAGCAGAGAATTTGTCTCTTCTCAGCTAGGGAAGATGCGCCTGACAGTCCCTTGTCGTGCCCTCACCTGCGCCCACCTGCAGAGCTTCGATGCTGCCCTTTATCTACAAATGAATGAAAAGAAGCCAACATGGACATGTCCTGTGTGTGACAAGAAAGCTCCTTATGAATCTCTTATCATTGATGGGTAGGGTCGCTCTGCATTCTGCTTCCTTTTACCTAGGACATCCACTAGGAATCCCCATCTATCAAGAGACCTTCTTTCCCTTCCCTCCCATGAACCCCAACTTTTTTTTTTTTTAAAGATTGTATTTATTTATTCATGAGAGACAGAGAGAAAGGCAGAGACACAGGCAGAGAGAGAAGCAGGCTCCACGCAGGGAGCCCGACATGGGACCCGATCCTGGGTCTCCAGGATCAGGCCCTGGGTGGAATGCAGCACTAAACCGCTGAGCCACCTGGGCTTCCCTGAACCCCAACTCTTAACCTATCAGTCCCTTTATAATATACAGTTGACCCTTGAACATGGGTCCACTTATATACAGAGTTTTTTTTTCAGTGCAGTATAGCAAATATATCTTCTTTACGATTTCCTTAATATTTTCTTTTGTCTAGCTTACTGTATTATAAGAATACAGTATGTAATACACATGACATATATATTAATTGACTTGATATTATCAGTAAGGCTTCTGGTTAAAAAAAAAAAGTTTTGGGGGGAGTTAAAAGTTATTCATGGATTTTTTTTTTTAAAGATTTATTTATTTATTTATTAGAGACACACAGAGAGAGAGAGAGAGAGGCAAAGGCAGAAGCAGGCCCCATGCAGGGAGCCTGACATGGGACTCCGGGTCTCCAGAATCACGCCCTGGGCTGAAGGCGGCGCTAAACCGCTAAGCCACCTGGGCTGCCCGGAATTTTTTTTTTTTTTTAAAGATTTTATTTATTCATGAGAAACAGAGGCAGAGACATAGAAAGAGGGAGAAACAGGCTCCCCACCGGGAGCCAGATATGGGACTTGATCCCTGGACCTGGGACCACACCTGGAGCTGAAGGCAGACACTCAACTTCTGAGCCTCCCAGGCGTCCCATGGGTTTTTTCTTTTTTTTTTTTTTTAAAAGATAGTAAAGACTTTCCTTTAAAAAAAATTTTTTTTTTCTTTCTTTCCTTTAGAGAGAGAGTGTGAATGGGCATGTGTGTTGGGGGGGGGGGGGGAATGGGGCAGAGGGAGAAAGAATCCTAAGCAAGCTCCACACCCAGAGCAGATCCTGACATAGGGCTCTCTCCTACGACCCTGAGATCATGACCTGAGCCGAAATCAAGAGTTGTTCAACTGACCGCACAAGCTAGGTGCCCCATCCATGGATTTTTGATTGTGTGTGGGATCAGCGCTCATACCCCCGTGTTGTTCACGGTCAACTGTATATATTTCTAACAGTAAGGATTTACTGCATTAGGCATCGTGCTGCGCACTCTGCATGCCTCATCTCATGGAATCCTCATAATTAACATTGTGAGAGGAGTATGGTTATTACAGGTGAGGAAGCTGAGACTTAGATTATCTTGCTTAAAGTTCCGATTGTTAGTAAGTGGCAGAGTCAATGTATTGAACTGATACAATGTGTCTCATAGAACCTGACCTCCCCACTGAGCCCAGCAGGAAAGTTCTTTTGAGGGTCTGGATGTACTGGTCTAGCTGGTCCTAACCCCCATCTAGAGCCTAAACTATGGTCCTCTCCTCATTCTCAGTGCCCTCTTTGAGACAGTTTTTGGAGTTCTGCATCTCTGTCCCTTTTGTCTTGTCACAAGTACTATATGAAACATGTGCTTAGAATGTATTTTTTGTAAAACTTAGCATTTAAAAGCCCTTTTATAAACCTTAGTTTACTCTTTTCCTTTTTTTTTTTTTAAAAAAAGATTTTATTTATTTATTCATGAGAGAGAGAGGCAGAGACACAGAGGGAGAAGCAGGCTCCATGTTGGGAGCCTGACACGGGACTCGATCCCAGGACTCCAGAATCATGCCCTGGGCCAAAGGCAGGTGCTAAACCACTGAGCCACCCAGGGATCCCGTTTATTCATTTCCAACAACTCAAGAGAGTTGAATAGGGTGAATAATGTCTCTATTTTACAGATGAGGAAACAGGTTCAGGAAGGTGAGTCCCAGAACTCCCCGGCTACTGTTCCCAGCCATCTCCTAGCCCCATGAATTCTCATTTCTTCCCTTCCCCCAGCTTATTCATGGAGATACTTAATTCCTGTTCGGATTGTGATGAAATCCAGTTCATGGAAGATGGATCCTGGTGCCCCATGAAACCCAAGAAGGAGGCATCTGAGGTTTGCCCCCCGCCAGGGTATGGGCTGGATGGTGAGTGACCCCCTGTCCCCCATCTGAATTACATCTCGGATGGCCTCTTCTCTGAGACACAGTCCTCTTACCACCCACAGGCCTCCAGTACAGCCCAGTCCAAGAGGGCAATCCATCAGAGACTAAGAAGAAGATTGAAGTTATTGACTTGACAATAGAGAGTTCATCAGATGAGGAGGACCTGCCCCCGACCAAAAAGCACTGTCCTGTCACCTCGGCTGCCATCCCGGCTCTACCTGGAAGCAAAGGGTAGGAGGAGATAGGCTGAGTCCACAGCAGAAGGGGCAGAAGAAGAAGTCGAATGCTTTCTGAGCCCCAGACAGACCCTGGGGCAGAGAGGGAACTCAGGAGGCTGAGCTGGGTGAGGGCATCTGTGGTTCGCTGGCTGCCCCAGCTCCTCCTCTCTCCTCACAGAGTCCTGACATCTGGCCACCAGCCATCTTCAGTGCTCCGGAGCCCTGCTATGGGCACTCTGGGTGGGGATTTCCTGTCCAGTCTCCCGCTACATGAGTACCCACCTGCTTTCCCACTGGGGGCCGATATCCAAGGTAGGACACCAATCACAAGGTGGGCTGTACCCTCCACATCTGCCCCCAAACCAGACCAGAACCCCTCCCTGCTCCTTTTCAAAGCCTCTGGCTCTCTTGCAAGGGGCTTCTTTGTTTTTTGTTTTGTTTTGTTTTGCTTTTGGCTGTGAAGGGGTCAGACAGGAGATTGATTCTGGTTTTTCTTTTCCTATCAGGTTTAGATTTATTCTCTTTCCTTCAGACCGAGAGTCAGGTAAGTGGTCCCTGCCCCCATGAAGATGTCAGATCTCTGAAACTTACTTTTTAGGCACTAATGGGCCCCTCCCCACCTGTCATTTTCCCCTGAGACCTAAACCTGCTCTGTGAGGGAAGGCAGGGGCTGGAGGAAGAAGATGTGGGGTGGGAGGGTAGTTTATTTCCCTCCTAGGCCCTACTGGCGCTTCTTCAGATTCTCACCCATGTCTCTTGGATCCCCTATTACTCTTCTGTCTCCAGACTTTTTAGAATTCTGCCCCTGACTGTTCCCCCGCCCCCACGCACCCCTGTGCACTTGAGTGCCATGCCTGCCCCAGCCGGACATTCCATGCATTTCAGACGCCCACAAGGCCAAGAACCTAGCAAGCTGGAGGGGCTGTCTCAAGGCAGGGAGTCTGGGTAGGGTAGGGGTGGGGCAGGGAAGTAGGGGAAAGAGAGAGTCTTCTCCTGTTTCTCAGAAGACACCTGGGGATCCAGAGGGTTTGATTTATCCTGGGATATTTCTGAGATGAGTGATTGGGAGGCAGGTGAAGTCAGGGGAAAATCTGAAACTGTGCCCTTGCCTCCCCCCAGCACTATGGTCCCTCCGTCATCACCTCGATAGATGAACAGGATGCCCTTGGCCACTTCTTCCAGTACCGAGGGACGCCCTCCCACTTCCTGGGCCCACTCACCCCCACATTGGGGAGCTCTCACCGCAGCGGCACTCCAGCACCCCCTTCTGGCCGCGTCAGTAGCATCGTGGCCCCTGGGGGGCCCTTGAGGGAGGGGCCTGGAGGAGCCTTGTCTGCGGGTCCCTCTTTGACTGGCTGCCGGTCAGACATCATTTCCCTGGACTGAGTCCCCCGGATGACGGAAACTTCACTGCCACCCAACACTGAGCACGTTCACTGTGGGTCCAGACTCCTGGCCACTCTGACCCCCCAGGGGGCTTTGGCCAAAGGTCAGAAAGACCTTCATGGATACCTGTTTTTGGCCTTCCCTCAGCCTGACAAGGCCAGCATCCAAAGGGTTAATATTTAACCTCTTTTTAAGGACATTTGGGTTCTATTTTTGGAAATGTTCTTTAGATGGCTGGCACATTCCTCTGGGTACCTTAACCTAGGCAGTGGGAGGCACACGGGATGGGGTGTGAGGTGGGGGAAGGGCCGAATCTGCTAGAGCCTCGTGGCGCAAGGGCCTCTCTCTTGTCCCCTAGATGCCTTCTTTTCCCCAAACCTATGGTTCTGTTCCTTCCCCACAGCCATTGTCTCTTCGTGTCCATTCCGTTCTCTTTGGCCAAACAGACAAGTGGAGAAGCTGAGGCAGGCGGACACACGGACAGAGAACTCTATTTTGGGTTGCAGATTTTTTTTTTTTTGTACATAAACGAGAAAAACCAAAATACTCCAAAGATGATTTCCCCTGCTCCTTACTTCCCAGTATGACTGAGGAGGAGACAAGGCCTTAGCCCTGATCCCCAGGGGGTTTGGGAGCAGGGCCTGGCCAATTACCCAGGTCTTTCTCTATTTATATATTTAAGTTCACAATGTTTCATATGCTGACCAGCTTGGGGCATGAGCTTGGAGAGGCCCACAGCCTCGTGGTTCCGTCTGGCTCATTCTGCACCTTTCCAGGGAGGTGGGAGGACTCTCATGCTCTCCCTATTCTCCTTTTTCAGGTTCCTCCAGGGCCTAGGACTTATGTTGTAATTTTACTTTTTATTCTCAAAGTTGTAGCAAAGTTATTACCCATAATAAAGGTTGTGAATGTCTGGGAGTGTCTTGGAGGTGGGCTGGGGAGGGGATTATGTACTTCGTTTTCCAGAGCCCTGGGTTGGGGGCAGGGACCCCATGTTCTGTTCTTCCTTGCAGGCCCTGGGTCCATTTGCACATGGTAAGGGTGTCCCACTGGGGGTTTCCAGGAGCATTTGTCCCCCCCCCCCCCCGCTCCCCAATCTCCCTCCCAGACCATTCAACCCAATGCTGCAGAACCCTCAAGTCTTTTGCCCTTACCTGCCCAGACGCTGCAGCCAGAGCCGGAGGGCAAACTTGGTCCCAGTGCTGACCCTCTCTTTGCCTTCAGCTGTGGTTGGGGTTGTCCGCAGCAGCGTAGACACAGGCAAGGCCAGAGGTCGAGTTCCTCCATCTTCCTCTAGTTCCACTGCACTGCATAGTAACAGCTCCTGTCTGGACTGTGCCTTGTGGCCTAGCCCTCTTCATGGAACCCTCCCAACCACAGCAGAAGGGTGGGTGGATGTTCACCTCATTTCGCAGAAAGGAACAGGTTCAAGGAAGGTTAAATGATTTGCCCCTCTGGGAGAGTGGGACTCAAGCCCAGTTAGCACTAGCCAGTTGGAGCAGGAACCCTTGGAGTTGGATGGACAGTGTCTTTGATCTCATGTGCCCCTTTCATCATCAGCTAGCCAACCCATTCCCACAACACAAAATCCGCCACACACACCCCCACAGCCCCCACCCCAAGGAGGAGTTAGAAATTGAACTTCTCAATGAGTATGTGTTGGTGTGCTGGAGGGTCAGGCAAAAGCTCTTACAGGACAGAGGGTGGTAGCTCCTGGGGCAGATGCCTGGGTGTCTCTGTGCCATCCTCTGTGGCAGCCACTGCAGCTGCTACATCTGGTCCCAGCCACATAAAGGCACTCACCTCACTTGGGTTTGGTTGGATCCGGGCCTGGGGAGACATGTAGACCCCTTAGCCATGGCCTCCCTAGGAGGCCTGTTCTTGATCACAGCCTACGCACAGGTAGAATGGACATAGACTTGGGGCAGGGGCAAGGGGAGAGGCTATTGGATTTCTTGGTTATCTCTGACGCTACCCCCCCCCCCCCACCTTAGTCACAGAACCCATCTGCTTGGGTCTCAGCCGGCATTTCCTTCCTACACCGCCAGCCCTACCTGTAGCTGCTGCTGTGACTCCTGGGAGACCACGAGTAGATAGAGAATGATGTGATGGTATTTGGGGAGACCCCAGCTGAGCCTAGGAGGGTAGGCAGACTAAGAGAGAATACAGCAAAAATGAGAACTTCCTCTCTCTTTTTGAGACTTTGTAAAGAGCTAAAGAAGTGGAGGGTAGAGATGGTGTGGGAGGGACACAGGTGGGGATTGTGGGCTTGGGGACGCCAAACCACCCACCCACCCACCCACCTACACTCAGTTGTTTCCCCAGTGGCCAAGGCGTGTCTGGCTGGTCTATAGGCTTTAGTGGATTCCAGGTTGGTGAGGGCTCTTGGTCAAATAAAGGAAGGGACCTTTTTTACAGGTTCCTGTCTCACCTCCCATAACCCCAAAGGGACCCAAGAGAATTGGCCCTGGGGCAGCTGTAGTCCACTCTCCTCCCAAAGCTCTCGGAGACCTCCGTCCAACAGCTGTGAGAGAGAGAGAGGGCAGGTGGGAGAGGCTGATGCCTGACCCCTCCAGGTCCTTTGCTCCTCTCAGTCCACACAGGGGCCTCTGCTTTCAGGGCAGGGGGAAGGTGGGGTTGGCAGATTGGTTACCTCTTCATCAAGTTCCACGTGACCACCTGCAACAACAGTGGGAGCGATGGTTACCTGGCAGTGTTCCTGGCCAGGAACCCCCGGCACTGTTGGCGCTGCCCCTCCTCCGGTGGGCATGGAGGTCATAGAGGTCACCGGCACTCCTTGTGAAGAGGGGACCTACTGCATTTCTGGGCTTGCCTCTCTGCCCTCCTGAGACTGGGAATAGCACTGTTGGGTGAGGTGCCTCTTCCTTGGACTTGGGGATCTCGTTCTCAGGGCACTCACCTGGGGGTACCCAGAGGTTGGGAGAAACGCTGAGGGTGCTCGTCCTTCGGGTTAACAGGACAGTCAGGTCGCTGGACTGCAGAAGGACGGCCACACCCAGGTCCACACCTCGATTCGTGGGCAGCTCGGCCGCCCGAGCCCCGAACTGCTGCTCCAGTGCCGCGAAAGGGCAGAAAGGGGATCGCTGGCGGGGGTGGGACGGGGGGTGGGGTGGCCGTTTGACTTAATGTCGGGCAGCACCGCGCGACGGGGGAGGAGGAGGTCGAGTCTGGGCGACCGTTACCCGCCCCCCGGCCTCTCGCGCCAGCTCCCACCGACCTCGTGCCGCGGGGCCCCGCTTCCCGACCTGCAGCGGAAGCCTGGTGGAAGCGCCCGGGAGTGGCCCGTCCGAAAGGACGAGTCGTCCTCGCTTCAGGCCGCAGTGCGTGCTCCACGGCCCAAGCCCTGGCCCGGCGCCCAGAAGGCGACACACACTGTGCGCGAAGCCGGGCGACTCGGCGCGCCCGGACAGGAGCAGCAGCACTCGCGTGGCGGCCATTGCGCAGCTCCGCCGCCCGCCTGGCGCCCCCTGCTGGCCGAGCGGCGCCGCCCCCCGGAGCGCTGGGCGGGGTCGGGGGAAGCTGGGCGTTCACCGCGCGCCCGGGAAACCCGCAGAGCCCCGCGGGTCAGCCGTGGGGCCGTGCTGGTAAATGACAAAAAAAGCCTCTGGGTCCTCATCAGCCCCTCTTTTCTTCCCCTCTTCTCGGTTTAGGAGAGGGATGCAGACTGGATGATTCTCAACTCACATGTCACCTCCCACCAGCCCGGGGCTGAACCACAGGAGCACCCACCCCTCTGTAGCACTCTGCACACCTACCTGCTATAGTGGGCATCACCTCGAATTCATCACATCTCCTTGCCAGACACCCGGGAAACCTTTTTGACCCCTTCTTTCTCACACAAATGGCAACCCAGTGCCCTAGATTCTACCTCCTTGAACTTTCTCAAATCCATGTCTTGCTCTTTAGCCTCCATGGTTCCTAGCCTTCCTCATATTCCGCCTGAGACAATATTGCAAGTCTCAAATAGTCCTCTTACCAGTTCATTCTCTAGGGTACTTCCAGAGTAATCTTTCTCAAACACAAGTCTCATCATCTTGCTTCCCACTGCTCCGGAGAGAATAGGCTACTAAGCACGGTATATAGCAAGGACCCCTCCAGCCCTTGCTCGTGCTCTCTCCAGCTTCAATGCTGGCAGGACTTAGGCCCTGTTTTCTAGTCACATCCTATATGCAGTTCTTCCTGGAACCAGGCTCTGCTTCATTCTGGGATCCCTTTCTGCTTCCACCTGACAAATCCTCATCTTTTTTTATTTTTCTTTATTATTTATGATAGTCACAGAGAGAGAGAGAGAGAGAGAGAGAGAGAGAGAGAGAGAGAGAGAGGCAGGCAGAGACATATGCAGAGGGAGAAGCAGGCTCCATGCACTGGGAGCCCGACGCGGGACTCGATCCCGGGTCTCCAGGACCGCGCCGTGGGCCAAAGGCAGGCGCCAAACCGCTGCGCCACCCAGGGATCCCCCCTTGGCTGACTTCTTGATGGGAAATGATGCATTTGATTGATTATTAATCTATTTGATTTAAAGTTCTTTCCCCTGCCAAGATCAGATGAGGGGAAAATACAGTGATGGGCCTAAGGCAGGATCAGCAAACTTTGAAAAAACATATTAAACTCTTTCTGGTGTATTCTGGGCAGTAGGGATAGAGGGGCATTTCAGTAGAAGAATCTGCAATGTATCCAACTTGCAAAGAATGCATCAGGCACCTCTTATTTTTTTTAAAAAGATCTTATTTATTTATTTGAGGTGGGGGAGAGAAAGAGAGAGAGAGAGAGAAAGGGTGAGCGCAGGAGCAGGGGGAAGGGCAGATGCAGATGCCCCGCCAGGCAGGGAGCCCAATACAGGGCTCAATCTCAGGACCCCAGGATCATGACCTGAGCCAAAGGCAGACCAACTGAACCACCTAGGCACCTCCTTTATTTTTCCTTCCAATCTCCTCAGATTTTCTGAGAAAGGCTCTTCTTCTGGGTCATTGTCTCTTCATGGTGCTCTCAATATAGGACTCCAGCAGGAAGATGGTTTCATCCACCTGGATCTCACTGGCATCCAACCTGAGTGGAAAAGTGAAAGCATTTGCTCAGATTGAGCATTCATTAGCATATATAAGGTTAGAGGCCATAGAGAATGGCATTGAGAGCATTACAAGAGATGGTTTGAAAGGGGAGGTGATGGCAAAGGTCTGGGAAAGAAGTGATGAGGCCTGCATGAAGACCAAGATAAAAGGCCAGATTTGAGACACATTACTGAAGTTAAATCCATAAACTTGGTGAATAAGAGTGTGTGAGCAGGCAGTAGAAGCTGAAATGCTTTCAGAGTTTTTAAGCTTAAGAAAATAGATGGATTAAATTCTGCCAATTGAGCCGGGAAAGAAGAGAGTGAGGTTAGGTTTGCTTGGGTGAACTTGGAGGAGTAGCTGGGTATGGAGGTGGACTTGTCTGGAAGGTGTTTTGAAACATAGGTTTGAGATTCATGATGCTGACTTGTTGACGTTGCGCTTCAGGGTTTCTAGCTGCTGGCGTTCGGGGACTGTGATCATCTCCTCTATTTCTTGGAGCTGTGCATCCTCTGCACCGGTAGCCTGCATAGATGCAATGATGGCTTCCACCCTCTGAGACTTTTCTAGTAGACGCCTGTCAGACAAACACAACTCTGAGGTATGTCCCCTAGCTCTGGAGATTCTTGTACCCATCAGCCCTAAGGCATAACGCCCTCTTCTTCCACATTCCTGATCAAAGTGGATATTGCCACCCTCCAAGAACAGTCTTTACAAGTTTAACTAGAAATACGACTTCACTCCAGAAACTCTTACTGCCTTTTTTAATAAATTTAATCTGCAAAATTATTTCACTGGGGGTACATCAGAACAGTTTAGACTAATGTACAATTTAGGTCAACCTAAGCCAATAATTCAATGCAACTAGACTGGTTATTGTCGCTATTGTTTTCTATTTCCATATGAAATTTCCCTTAAGACTCTGACCTTGAAAAATGTAATTACTCAACTGAAAATGCTACTCACTTGTTCTCTTTGGTTTCAAATTGTCTCCTTTCTATCAAGTTGGCTATGCTCTGAGGGAAGAGAAAACAAGAAATGCACATGGTTCTATTTAAGTAGCTCTTGTACCGGCTAACTGGGGCATTAGAGTTAGACTCTTCTGTGTGGAGGAAATGGGGAGAAGGTCCAAAGAAATTACCTTGTAGCACCTGTGCAGCAACATTCGGGCAGCTGATAGGATGTTCACAGTATATAAATAGAAGGTCCTGGATGGGGCATGGTCTGGGGTTTTGGGAATTTCCTATTTGTCCACAGAAAGAAAAAGAGAAATCATACTGTTCTTCAAAAATGGCAAGGTAAACACTTGTTCCATCCAGAGCAACTCAACTTTTCCTCTTCCCCAGTCATTCAGCATCTGTGTTTATAGCAAAATCAGCCACATGCAGAGCTTTTTCTACTTGACTGTCAGCATCCTCAGTAGGGAGGAAAGAGAAGGCAATTAACATTTACTGAGCAATCTTTTTTTTTTTTTAAGATTTTATTTGTTTATTCATGAGAAACACACACACACAGAGAGAGAGAGAGAGAGAGAGAGGCAGAGACACAGGCAGAGGGAGAAGCAGGCTCCATGCTTTGAAGCCCGACATAGGACTCAATCCCGGGTCTCCAGGATCACGCCCTGGGCCGAAGGAAGCACTAAACCGCTGAGCCACCTGGGCTGCTCTTACTGAGCAACTCTTATGTGCCATGTAGATTGTATTTGATCTTTAGGACAAACTGTATTATTTTTATTACCACCACCCATCACCATTGTATTGATAAGAAAAAATGACGGTAGATAATTTGCTCAGTGTAACTGGGTCAGCAGCAGAACTGTGATTCTGTCTCCCAAATCCATTCTGTCTATTTCCTCATAGGGCATACTACCTGGCTTTGCGGACCCAACAGATGATGTTGGCAGATTTAATCTATATAATAGATTTAACACCTGGGGAAAGGACAAGTCACAAGGAGTAGGAGCTAAGGAAAAAGGGAATTCTGGGGTGATTTCTTGAGGTGCCTCTATTTAACTAAGGCCACTTAAAGCTTCCCTATTCTAAAAAAAAAAAAAAAAAAAAAAAAAAAAGCTTCCCTATTCTCTTCAAGTGCTTGCTAGGTCTCTGTTAACCTTTTTTTCTGTCTCAGAGCTGAAGTGAGAGTTTGCTTGAGGTTCAGGAGGTTTGCCTCAGAAGTTTCTTTTACCCTTGACCAGCTCCACTGGTTGGTGACTGTTATGCTACTGGTTACCTGGAGTGATATGAAATTTCCTGAGAGCATCTTATAAAGCATATCCTTTGCCTCCTTTGCTGGAATCATTGCAAAGTCTTCTACCTGCTTCTGCTCCAGGTGTTTCTTTTGCAAAACTAGACGGAATATTCTGGCACAACGAGACCCAAACCTGGAAATGAATAAAGAAAGCAAATGGCATGACATAGATTAGTTTTAGCTCCTAGTCACAGATGGCAGTTGCTCTGTTTCCATGTATGGAGCCAGGACCAGAGAGAAGAACAGTGGTCAAAGATTTCTTTCACAACTCCATAGATTAATGATGGTACTGCTAATCATAAAAGAGTCACCAACTGCTGACTCATTTGAGTATCTGAGTTCCTGCATTTATAAGTCAAGGCTTTAGGAAGGCTGGTTAATTGGCACCAGTGGGAGTTAAGTGGTAGAGCAGTAGTGGATGGGATCTGTAGCAGTCCAGTGGAAAAATGGGCAAGATGCACCAAGATGTATCTACATGGGGTGCTTACATAATGATTAAATTGCTTATTCAAATGAAGTGTGGAAAAATGGCCCCAACCCTGAGCAGGGTGACACTCTTACCTCTCCTGCACGACAGACTCCAGAGTGGCTGTGGCTAGGGATCCTAGAGCTTTATGCAGGTCTTCATGTAGAGGGTTAAGGTCAGTAATGTTTTGGTTTGGTCACTGTGATCTTAGTTTTATTCCTAAATCAGGGTTTTGCTTAACTAAAATTCGGTTAATTCAAAGTCCTTTTTACTTCTTTATCATCAATGTATGAGTTCAATTTTTTGACTTACTTAGTATACTAACTATTATCCAATCTTTTATTTCATAAGTCACCATTCTTCTTCATAGTTCAGGCTGCCTGACTATAAGGAAATAACTGGTAAGGATACTGATGACATACATTCCTCCACCACTGTCGCCAGACTTTCCAACAAACTCTAGCTATTGGAAAAAACACAGAGAGAGAGAAAGAGAGAGAGTTAACTGGATGGCAAGTCCAGTGATTCTGTTTCCAAAGGAGCAAATATGGCCAAAAGTCTGTAGCAGATAGCCTTCCTATCAGCTGATGGTAGAGAAACTGTCTGAGCTGGGCTAGGTAGAAAATGAGGCTACAGACGGATACCAGGTTTCAGTGGCAGAAATAAATTGTAAACACAGCAG